GGACATTATGCTGAGTGAAGTATCTCAGTCACAAAAGGACAAATACTGCATGGTGCCACTGTTGTAAAACAGGACTGACATTGGGGTTGGGGGGAAGACTGAGAAAGATGGGTTCAATAACGCATACTGCATTGAAACAGATGAGGGAGAAAACTGTTTAAGTGGGTTATGTTATTAGGTATTTTTGTCATGACAGGAGTCCAGAGCGAAGGCTGTATAGTGGAGTGGACCTGGGGGGAGGGACCGTAAAACAATGAAAGAATTTTTGTTTTACTTTTCCAAGATGGTAGTATACTAGGGGAAAGGACTGGGAGGGGAGAAAAGCAACAATGAATGAATGGATATCCAAAGTCTGTAAATTTTCATTGAAATTAATAATAAATTTTACAAAAAAAGAAAGAACATTTATTTTAATTGAATAAATACTGGTTGAATTTCATTCAGGAAGATTTTTGAGGACGCATAGCAACAAAAAAATATGTATGTTATTTATGTGTTCTTTGAGAATTTACCCAAGCTTATGATTTCCCCTAAGTCATGTTTTGAATTGTTAACTGTATTCTGTATTTTTTTGAGGGTTTTTGTTGTTGTTCTTTGTTTTTTTGTTTGTTTGTTTGTTTTACCTCAAGTGGAGAGTTCAGCTGTTGTTGTGTAATTTGATTAAAAACCCTCTGTCTTTCCAGAGTTAGATTTTACATAACTTAATCAATATGCCAAATATGAGACATTTGAACTGATTTGCAAGTACAAGATGGCTAAGGGAGCTTTATTTAAAATGATAAAAACAACTACAAAGATCAAATGTATTAAAAAAAATCATTGCTTTTAAAAAAAACAAACAGGAAGATTTTTTAATTAAATATCACCTCAGTATTAAAAATTCTTTCTAAAGAATTTTAAGACAATAACTAAAATTTCCCATTTTTTTACAAGACAGACATTAGCATACCTAAGCTATCACATCAACAGGTTAATATCTGGTTAAAATTTGTGTTTATTGGGGAGCTCTGGTGGCCTAGTGGCAAGAAGCTGCAACTAGAATCCCAGAGGTGCACGGTTCGAATCCACCAGATGCTCTGCCGGGGAAGGAGGGGCAATCTCCTCCTGTACCAGTCAGCTCTGATTTGACGGCACACACACACAAAAATAATAAAATAAAATAAAAAAATATTAAAAACAAAAAATTTGTGTTTATTATGAGTTTCAATTGCCATTTATATACAGAGAAAGAGAAGTGTTGGTTATGAAAATATAACTCAGGTAGGAGCATCTAACCTAGGAAATGACTGTAGGTTACTAAAACCTTTAGGATGTAAATGGCTTATCCAACATAGCCTAACTCTCTTAAGGACAAAATTAACCACTAGTAATAGAATCCCTGTTGGGGCAGAGTTGGAGCTCAGTGGCAGGAAAATGCAGAAAATAACTTGAAATAAAATGACCTTAAGGAAAGTAGAAAGCTCTCGTGGTTCAAACCCACAAGAACTCCATGAAAGATGGACAGTCTCCTCCCTTAAGATTTACAGTCTACAAGATCTGGGTCACCAGCAGTCAGAACTGCACACAGGGCAGTGAGCGAAACAATAAAATAAGGTCTGAGCTGGTTCCAACACAGGCGTATGCAAAACATGGACGGTCCTCAAGCTTAACCAATATGTTCTCTGGAAACAGTAACTGCTCAGTATAAACAACGAAAACCCACTTCTGTTGAGCTTGATCCAACTCACAGTGACCTTACAGGACAGAGCTCAATCAACTCATATGGGTTCCAAGGCTATACTCTATAGAGTACTAACATTTCACATCCTTCTACAAAGTAACTAGTGGGTTCAAACCAGTTAAAACTGCTTTAATTGGAAATCTTCAGTATGACACCCTACTGATAACACAGGATGATAAACCAAGAACCTTTCTACCCAAAGATTTAAGCATCCATGGCAAAGTACTGAATCAAGCTGCTGTAACTGGAACAGCCTGGGTTCTCGTGTAACAAACTGTCACTGCTAGTCCAGTCAGTTCTACCTCATGGCTGACTCTCTAGCAGCTTTCCCTGGCTGTAAATGGCCATCTTCCTCCAAGGAACCCTGGTGGATTTGGATGGCTGACAGTGGGTTACGAATGCAAGTCTCTAGTGACTACACCAACCAGAGCTTCCTAATTTCGGAATTAGTGACTACAAATTTTTTAAATTTTTGAGTAGCAGAGAAAAAAAAATGTTACTAGATTTTCTACTAGTACAGGTTGGCTGGATTAAGCTATTACTCAGTAAAATAAAAATCTGTAGTTCTATGCTGAGTTTGTACAGCAGTCACACAAGTTACAAAGCAAATGTTATCTTTTTATTTTAGATAGCGCATACTTATTTAAATCTTTTAGAAGTTGCTTTGTTTCACACAGAAATTTTTAAAATAGTTCAAGTAGTCATTATGGCTATGAAATAGGTAAAATGAGGGAGATTCAAAATAGTTATATAAAGATCCATTAGCTGCTTCTTCGGAAAAGAATGGGCAATCTCTTCCTGTGTGATTTATAGCCTCTGTAGGGTCAGTTATGGATTGGTTCTCATTCAAAGGCACACAACAAAAATATATAAAGATAAATTATTTTAAAATTTCATATATATTTTTAAGTGAAAATTCTAAAGCAGACATACAAAACAATTGGTTTTTTATTGATATCTTACCTTTCCACAACCTTACACAGCCATCATCCCCTGATGAAGCTAGTACAGTCCCTGTAATATTCCAACTTACTCGCCAGACTTGAGAATTATGATTATCAAACTGAGCCACTATATGGATTTCAAATTTTGTTGGTCCACCAGAGGAACTAAGTTCTTTCCTGTAATAAAAGTTAAATAAATTATTAACAAGGTCTAATTGTTTAATTGTCTTTAAGTTGACTGTTATCTCTCATTTTTCCAAGTATATCAGAAGAAAACTAGCTATAGGCACAGCCTCAAAATCACTTAAAATTAACCCAAACAAAACACAATTAAGAAAATATAATTCTCTCTTTTCTCAATTCTGCACCCCAACATGATTATCTATATGCAGCATGTTCATTTAAAAAATGTATTGAGACCATAGTTGTATCTACTTTTTTCAGTATAAGTCAAAATAAGAAAGTATTTCCCAAGTAGCAATTGTTTCTAGAACTCACCGGATAGGTTTTAACGTAAAAATCCGTACATCTTTGGTTGCTACAGCTAGAATATGGAATGACCTTCCCAAATTTGGAGCAAATGCAATATCATGTACAGGATCAGTGACTGTCATAAGGGTTTCTGCTTTTGCATATTTTCTAGTGAAAAAAAAAATTAATAAAAAATTTAAAATTCTCATATACACGTAACCGTCTTTCTTCACACTGCTCACATAAAATATTTATGTCAATAGTCTCTTAAACACATTGCTCAGAGTTGGAACTGACTCATAGTTGACCCTTCAGTAGGTTGCCTAGGGAGGTGATCTCTCATCTTTCTTCTGAAGTCACCAGTGATTCAAACCACCAGAGGTACAGCCTTTGAATTAGCAGCATAACTTCCTATGGACTATACCACCAGAGTTTCCTATTTATTTCAATGTTATTGCTGTTGTTAGTACAACTTGGAGCCTAATGAACAGACTTGAACCTTGTTCTATCCTGCTCCATCCTCATAATCTTGGATATGCTCAAGCCCATTGTTAGTCACTGTGTTAATCAAACTTGTAGTAAAAGGAGCAGATGCAAAGTGGGGAAGGCCGAGTCGGACTTCTTACCCACTTCATAAAGGGGAACAAGCTTTCCCCACCAGTAATGACCATACAAATAACTCCATGATGAGACATGCCACCCCACATGCTCCTGCACCTATTTCTACCAATCACTGTCTCTAATATTCATTATAAATTGATTTACAGACTTTACTCAGAGTGTAAGGTTTATTAGTAAGATGGGTTCGGGGAGTAGGAAATGGATTGGGGAAGGCAAAGAATATCACACAATTCAAGTACAGGTTTAGCCCAGCAGTCCAAAGACAGATTAAAAAAACACATTGCTCAATTAGTTTATACAGGGACTAGTAAACAAGTGTAAGGCCAGGTTCAGTTTAGCAGCACAAATAAACCTCTGGTTTCCTCAATGAGCACAGCAAACTTTATTGCAGAGCAGCTACAAGTCAGCTTTGCATGCAATCAACCAGCAGACAAAACTTTTAACTGTGGCTCCTAAGGAGTGTCTAGATCCAGAAAAAAATGCACATCATTTGTACCATTATGAAGACCAAGTCTTCTGTCTGTCTGTCTGTCTCTCACACACACACACACACACACACCTGCTCACTCACTGACTCACACTATCTTAAAGCATGGGGGCTCCAGTGGGATCATCCTTAGGGAGCTGTACTTCTTACTCAAAGGCAGCACCTCTCTGGCACAGCACATCAGTAGGGAACTTCCAGAAGTGCAGCCTGGGGTTTGGAAGAAGCCATGGCATTAGGGACACCACAGCCAACCTTAGAAGGATCTTGGCTGAAAGCAGCGAGTACCAGAGGAATGTCTGTTTCAGTGACAATACAAAGGCATTTGACTGTGTAGATCAAATCAAACTGTGGGAATCCCAGAATATTTGACTGTGCTTCTGTGAAACCTATACTCGGACCAGGAGGCAGTTGTCAGAACAGAGCAAGGAAACACTGCGTAGTTCAAATCAGGAAACGTGTATGCCAGAGATGCGTCTTATCTCCACAGCTTTTAATCTATATGAAGAACAGATCATCTGGGAGGCTGGGCTCTACGAGGAGGAATGTGGCATCAGTCTTAGACCCAAAACTGTGACTCTTATCTATAAAGCCTTTCAGAAGTGTGCTTTGCTTTCATGAGACATCGGCTGTACCTCAGACAGAGTACTTAGCACTCTCAGGCATTTTACAGATACATGTATATGGGGAGCCAAATTTCCAACTAAATATTAACGATAAATTAAATGCTATACCAAAATATGAGGGAGGTGTAAATACAAGCTGGAATTTCCCCTGAGACAGGTCACAGGGGTCAAGCGCCAAGGCAGACCTTCAAGCGTTTTCACAATTCCTGGATTGTATTTGCTAACCCCTCCCCAGTCAAGCATAAGGTTTTCAATAGAAAGAGCTTAGCTTCATTTGCATAGAATTCTCTTTGTGATTTGCTCCCTGGCAATTTTCAATAAAGTCACAGGGAAGTTGCGCTTCAGTTTTCAAGCTTTTTGCCTTCTGCCTTTAAGCTCTGTTTTCTTTTTCCTCCATTCTCGGTGTCTCATCTCCTTCTTTATTTTTTGTCCTTGGCCGACGACACATGTATTGCAACATCATCAAAATTAGCCATGTCTTCAACTGGCACTACAACTACATGTTGCCCAAATTTTTTAGAGCTCTGTGGCACCAGTAGCCAGGAAATCAAGAGATGAATTGCATGGGAAAGTCCATTGTTAGGGACCTCTATAGAGTGCTAGCAACAATGTAAGCCTGGAGACTAAGATGTACCTGATCCAGGCCCTGGTCTTTACAATTATGTGCTATGCATCAGAAAGCTGGACAATAACTATGGATGATAGGAGAATTGATGCCTTTGAGCAGTGGTGCTGGACAAGAGAATATACCATGGACTGTCAGGAGAACAAACAGGTTTGTCCTAGAGAGGGTGAAACCAGGCTGCTCCTTGAGGGCAGGGATTCTGAATCTCAGTCTGACTTACTCTGGACATGTTGCAAGGAGGGACCAGTCCTTGGTGGGGGACACCATGACTGGGAGAGTGGAGGGACAGTGCGAGAGAGGAAGACCCTGGTTGAGATGGATTGACTCAGTGACAAGGGAAATAGGGGCTGTTGTGTCAGAGACAATAAGGTTGGCTCAGGATAGAGCAGGGTTCAGAGTTGCTGTACATAGTCACTATGAGTCGCAAGCGACTCAATGGCACATAAAAACAACATATCTTAAGAAAGGAGTTCTAGTAGCTGCCAACCCAAAAAGCATGTGGTTTGAATCTACCAATTGCTCAGTGGGAGAAGGAAGGGAATCTACTCCAGTGCAATTTACTGCCTCTGAAAACCCGCTAAAGGTCCAGCTATAAGTCAGCCCGACTTGATGGTATACAAACAATATTAAAAACAACAACAGTATGTCAAGAAATGATAATGAACTATGAAATAAAAAACTTGGAAATCATTCTTGAGTCCTCCCTCTTCATCAACTCCCACATCTAACTAATTACCAGATCCTACTGATACTACTTAAAACTGGTCTTGGATTTCTCCTTTTCCTTCCACTCTTACTTCCAATATACTATTCCAAATCCAACATAATCTCTCACATGGAGATTTTAATCTTGAGTCCTACATCACTTATGTTCCTCCCCAATACACCCCTTACTACTGAAGAGCCACTGGATCTTGTTATTTCTAGTAGTGTCACAATACTCTAAGATAACATCAACACTGACCACTAGATCCCACAGAAATGTGGCCGCCATCTTTCTCACCACATTCTCTTTGAGATACTATGTTTCAAACCCATATATTGGTTCTCTTTTGTCCATGAGCTTTGAAAAAAAGGAGTTTTTCCATTGGACCATTTCTGTCCTTCACCTGGCTAATAATCCTATAGGTCTTCTGGGTGAACCTCCATGATCCCACAAACTTGTTAGAGGTAAACTTTCAACATTCTGATTCTTCAACTTCAAAAAATTCAGCACCTTTTTTTCAATCTCTTCAAGATGGTTCATATGTGAATCAAGTAGTATCTATATATCCATTTCTTGACTTTTTTTGAGTGAAAGTTTACATTGGATTTCATTAGCTCACTAATTAGTCAATTTATGTAATTAACTACATTGTCTGATCAACCTTGTATTGTACATGGCCTTTCCCTTCACCTCACTTACCTAGTTATTCATTTTAATCCCCTCTACCTTCCGTCCCTTATTTTAACCATCCATGGTCAACTCTTAAGAATCAGAACTTGGCGAATCATAGAAAAAAATCAATAAATATGTAACGAATAATGTATAAACAGCTAATATACAAACAAATAACTCTTGAAAATAAAAACTAAAGCCATACTGACCTTGTATTTTCATTATATTCATATATCTGGACCTTGGCCATTGCATTTGGACTGCTGTCATCACTTCCTACAGCAATTATCGGGGGATGAGCTCGAGAGCTAGGAATGAAGAGCACAAAATGAAAAGCAATACATGAATACATTTAATTCAGATAAAGATTTTCATGGAATCCCAGAGCTCCACAGCTTACACACTCATATTTGCCAGAAAGACAACAAACAGACCCCTGCCACCAATCAACACAACACACCCAGGAACCTCTAAACTAAAAAGGTTTCACAGAAAAACTTGAGATGCTGTCTTTTTAGATGTTTTCAACACATTTTCTTATGTCTTAGAAAGTACTTTTCCAAAACATAAAAGGTTTCAAGTAATTTATAGTTTTAAAAATAGTAACTCTACTGCATGCTGTGATCCAAACTCATAACAGAAAGATTTTTAAGTGTTTTGTATACAAATAAACACAGAAAGAGAGGGAACAAGTTACAAGAGACTATCTTTCATGATGCACAAGTCATCCCTGCTGGATTCATTCACAGCCCTTCTCATTCTGAGAGAAGACAGAAGAAACCAGTTCTCCTACAGGGAAATGTTTATTAAATGATATTATCGTTTTCTCTTTACCTTTACATTCAGTTCTTTTGATTCCTTCAGATTAATATCTTTACAAACATGATCCTTGATTTAACTGTTAAACATTTATCTGTTAATACCTTGAAATTAAAACGAAACTTCTGAAATTTCCAAAAACAAAGTGGGCAGTTCAAATGTACCAGCTGCTAAGCAGGAAAAAGATGGGCACTCCCCTCCTGTTACAGCCTCTGAAAAACTGCTGGAGGGTCAGCTCTCAGTCTATTTTGACTTAAGAGTACATAAAAACTCCCCTTTTCAGCATGATGTTTCTCTGCAAGGATTGACTCCTCCTAAAAAATATACCCAAGGAATCTCTGCCTCTAAAGAGCATTTTGGGTTGCACTTCCTCTAAGACAGGTTTGTCTGTTCTTTTGGTAGTCCATGGAATATTCAATACTCTTCTCCAACATCACAATTCAAAGGCATCTATATTCCTTATTCATTGTCCAAATTCCAGGAAAAGTTTAGAATACCATAGGTTGGATCACCGTACTCCTTAAACTGGAATACTTGCTCTTTTTAAAAAAATTTATTTTATACTGGTTTATTTAAAAAGTTCGTATACACTGTTCGTATACACTTTTACTGAAGATTATCCAAAAACGACTGGAACAGCACATCAACAGAGAACTACCAGAAGTCCAGGCTGGGTTTAGAAGGGGTCGTGGTACTAGAGATATTGTAGCTGATGTTAGATGGATCTTGGCTGAAAGCAGGGAATACCAGAGGAATGTCTATCTGTGTTTCATTGACTATGTAAAGGCATTTGACTGTGTAGATCATAACAAACTGTGGCTGACTCTGAGAAGAATGTGAATCCCAGAACACTTGATCATTCTAATGCGAAACTTATACTTGGACCAGGAGGCAGTCGTCAGAACAGAGCAAGGGAACACTGCATGGTTCAAAATTGGGAAGGGTGTATGCCAGGGATGCATCCTATCTCCATACATTTTCAACCTATATGCAGAACAGATTTTCCGGGAGGTGGGGCTCTATATGAGGAGAAATGTGGGGTCAAGATTGGTGGACGATTTATCAGCAATCTGCATTATGCGGATGACACAACCCTGCTTGCTGAAAACTGAAGAGGACCTGAAGCGCCTGCTGCAGAGTGTCAAGGACTGCAGCCTACAATATCGATTGAGGCTCAATGTCAAGAAGACAAAGATTCTCACCACTGGACCAATTGGCAGCATCAGGATGGATGGTGAAGAGATTGGGATTGTACACAGCTTTTAGTTTGCTTGGCTCCATAGTCAACAGTCTTGGCACCAGCAGCCAGGAAATTAAAAGGCGCATTGCCATGGGAAAGTCTGCTGTTAGGGACCTCTCTAAAGTACTGAAGAGCAATGGTGTCTCTCTGGAGACTAAGGTGTGTCTGATACAGGCTATGGTCTTCACAATCACTTGTTATGCATCAGAGAGTTGGACAGTGACCAGGGAGGATAGAAGGAGAACTGATGCCTTTGAGCTGTGGTGCTGGAGAAGAGTATTGAGAATACCATGGACTGCTAGGAAAACAAACAGATTTTTCCTGGAAAGGATTAAACCGGGTGGCTCCTTGGAGGCAAGGATTCTGAGGCTCCGTCTAACATACTTTGGACATGTTGTGAGGAGAGGCCGGTCCTTGGAGAGGGACATCATGCTTGGGAGGGTGGAGGGACAGTGCAGGAGAGGAAGGCCCTCTATGAGGTGGATTGATTCAGTGACTGGGATAATTGGGATGGGAGCGTCAGAGACAGTGCGACTGGCACAGGACAGAGTGGAGTTTAGGGCTGTTGTACATAGGGTCGCTATGAGTTGCAAGCGACTCGATGGCACATCACAACAAAACACTGTTTTTCACAACACATACTTGTTCTTTAAAAGTTAAAGAGAGGTTCTTTTTTTTTTTTTAAAGAGAGATTCTTTACAGCACATTTTCCCAATGCAAAACATCTTTTAATTTTTTTGATTGCTGCTACCAAAGGTATTGATTATGGATTCCAGTAAAATGAAATCCTTGCCAATGTCAGTCTTTTTTTTTTTATCTGTCATGATGTGGCCTTTTGGTCTAGTGATGAAGATCCTTGTGTTCTTTATGTTGCGAGGTAATTAATACAAATAATAATATAAATAATAATAATAATAAATCAAGGATGTAGTCTTTGATTTTCTGTAGCAAGTGTTTCAAGTCTTTCTTGCTTCTCATAAGCAAGGTTGTTGATTCTTCCTCTAATCTGATGCCACATTCTTCTTAAAAATGTTCAGCTTCTCTAATGAGTTGCTCAAAATATACACTGAATACATAGGGAGAAAAGATACATCCCTGAAACACACCTTTCTGGATTTTAAACTATAAAATGTTTCCCTGATCTGTTTGAGCAACTGCTTCTTGGTCTAGGTACAAGTTTCCCATGAGTACAATATAGTGTTCTTCGATTCCCATTCTTTTCAATATTAACCATAAAATGTTATGCGGCACATAGTCAAATGCCTTTGCCTAAACAATAAAACACAAGTAAACATCTTTCTAGTATTCCCTTCTCCAGCCCAGATTCATCTGATCTATCATGATAGTCTGAATTTCTGTTACATAAATCCCTCACCACTGGACCGATAGGCAACATTATGACAGATGGAGAAAAGACTGAAGTTGTCAAAAATGTCATTTTACTAGGATCCATAATCCTACCCATGGTAGCAGCAGTCAAGAAATCAACAGACGTACTGGCACTGGAGAAAGCTGCTGTCAAGGGCTTTTCCAAAGTTCAAAAGAGCCTAAACACTAAAGTATCCTGATTAAAGCCCTGTATTTTCAATTGCTTCCTACACATCTCAAAGATGGATGATGAATATGAAGGAACAAAGAACTGACGCCAGTTAATTGTGTTGGTGATTAGTTGTGATTATCCATGGACTGTCAAAAGGACAATCAAATCTGTCTTGGAGGAAGTCCATCCTTAGAGGTAAGGATGGTGAGACTTTGTCTCATAACCAGTCCCTGAAGAAAGAAATATCATGTTAAGAGAGGTTAAGTAAGGTCAGCAAAAGAGAGAAAGATCCTCAGCAAGATGGATTGACATGTGATGACTACAATGGGCTTGAGCATGACAGAGATCATGATGATGGGGCAGGATAGAGAAAGATTCAGATCTGCTATTCACAGGATCACTATGAGTAAGGTAACTCAATGGCATTTAAGATCAAAAGTGTCATCATCTGAACATACTGCGTCACCATGACTAAAAATCAACTCCAAGGAATCAGTAACAACAAATTTTTCTATAGCAAGAATCACAGATAAAAATTATAAAAAACATTAAGAATGAGAGGACATCTACCTTTCATTTATTACTATTCTGCAGATTAAATTCTCTTTTTTTAAATTCATTCATTGTTGCACATTTTCTTCACTCCTCCTCCCTCAGTCCACTTTGCAATGCACTTCTTGTTCCAGACTGTTGCTTTAAATATACTATTATGTTAATATATTGCTATATTAGCCATATATTCCTTTTGGACCTATTTTAAATTCTTTATCAAGTGACTGTTTATTTGAATTTATTTTTTTTAATTATTTGTGTAATTTTACAAAAATGTTGATGATGTTGTTATGTGTTGTCAAATAGGAACTAACTCATAGCTGACTCTCTAGGGAGTTTTCTTTTTTTTTTATTATTTTGTGTGCGTGTAACCGTCAAATCAGATCTGACTGGTACAGGAGGATATTGCGCCTCCTTCTCCGGCAGAGCATCTGGTGGATTCGAACCGTGATCCTCTGGGATTGCAGTGCAGCTTCTTGCCACTACTGCTGGAGAGAAATGGCATTTCAAAGAGTACTTTATATATAGACGCAATCTTGTTCTTCTATCTGTACAGAAGCCCCAGCGCTAAACCCCCACTTAGCCTTCTACCACTTATGTCCCTCCCCACAGAGTAAGCATTCATGATGACAGTGTACCCAAAAGGAGCCCATGCCCCTCTTCTAGACATGCTTCTGATACCCAAACAGCTCCAGGTCTAATTGGAGGGCTTGGTCGGGCCTCTGATCACGTAGGTGAACTAAATCAACAGAATACACTTAGACATATGAGGTGGGGAGTTCACACATACAGGCTCCAGGATCTTTATGTTGTTGTTGGGTGCTGTTGAACATGACTCATAGCGACCACATGACTCATAGCGGCCCTATGAACAAGAGATCTGAACTCTGCCCTATCCTGCTCTATCCCTAGCAACCTCGACACATTTTGAGTCCATTGCTGCAGACAGTGTATCAGTCTATCAGGTTGAAGGTCTTCCTCTCCTTTGCTGGCCCTCCACCTCCAGCATTCCAAGCATGATATCCCTTTCCAAGGAAAAGCTTCTCTGAACATGTCCAACAAATGCTGAGATGAAGCTTCACCCTCCTTGCCTCTAAGGAGCACTGTGGTTGCATTTTCTCCACGATGTATCTGTATGCTCTTTTGGCAATGGGATATTCAATGGGATATTACCACCACAGCTCAAAAGCATCATCAACTCTTGTCATCATTTGTCATTGTCCAGCTCGCAGATGCATAGCAGGTGATTACAAAGAT